GCTGTTGTTATTGCTGCGTTTGCTGCTGCTGCTGCCTCGCTTTTGTTGCTCTTGTTAGTGCTGCTGCTGCTACTGCTGGTGCTGCTGCTGCTGTTCACGCTGGTGTCGGTTTTACTATTGCGCGTTTGCTGCTGCTGCTGCGTCGCTCTTGTTGCGCTTGTTAGTGCTGCTGCTGCTGCTGTTTCTGCTGCTGTCGCTGTTGTTATTGCTGCGTTTGCTGCTGCTGCTGCGTCGCTTTTGTTGCTCTTGTTAGTGCTGCTGCTGCTACTGCTGCTGCTGCTGCTGCTGTTCACGCTGGTGTCGGTTTTACTATTGCGCGTTTGCTGCTGCTGCTGCGTCGCTCTTGTTGCGCTTGTTAGTGCTGCTGCTGCTGCTGTTTCTGCTGCTGTCGCTGTTGTTATTGCTGCGTTTGCTGCTGCTGCTGCGTCGCTTTTGTTGCTCTTGTTAGTGCTGCTGCTGCTACTGCTGCTGCTGCTGCTGCTGTTCACGCTGGTGTCGGTTTTACTATTGCGCGTTTGCCGCTGCTGCTGCGTCGCTCTTGTTGCGCTTGTTAGTGCTGCTGCTGCTGCTGTTTCTGCTGCTGTCGCTGTTGTTATTGCTGTGTTTGCTGCTGCTGCTGCGTCGCTCTTGTTGCTCTTGTTAGTGCTGCTGCTGCTACTGCTGGTGCTGCTGCTGCTGATGCTCACGCTGCTGTTACTGTTATTATTGCTGCCTTTGCTGCTGCTGCTGCTGCGTCGCTCTTGTTGGTGTTGTTAGTGCTGCTGCTGCTGCTTCTATTTCTGTTGCTATGGGTGATATTATTGCTGCTTTTGCTGCTGCTGCAGCGTGCTCTTGTTGCTCTTGTTAGTGCTGCCGCTGCTGCTGCTGCTGCTATTTCTGTTGCTATGGCTGTTGTCATTGCTGCTTTTGCTGGTGCTGCTGCGTCGCCCTTGTTGCTCTTGTCAGTGCTGCTGCTGCTGGTGCTGCTGGTGCTGCTGCTGCTATGTTATTTTGTTCCCTGACGGTTTTCGAATCTTTGAGTTCTCTCCAGCGCCGCGAGTTTCTCTTTTTGTTTAGTTGAAGTATATTCTTTGTGGATCTCTTGTGTGAATATTGATTTGTTTCACTATTTATTGTTGTTTATCTGGCTGCATTTCAATGTATTTCAGTCTATTTGAATTTATTTCAGCAGATTTCAATTCGTGTGAACTCATTTTGCTGCTTTGCCGCGTGGCCGAAAGGACGCAAGTGTGCATTTTGTGGTGTTTTTCGGCGTTTCGATGCACCAAGCAAATCTGAAGAAGCAAAGTGGAAATAAAAGCAAATAAAACAATAAAAACAAACAATAAAAACAAACAAAAACAAATTAAAAAGGTGGGCCGCGCAGGGGCGTCCCGGCGGGCTACCGCCGCGCGGCGTGGGAGGCGGTGGCGTTCAGCGCGCGGGAGAACAGCAAGTTGAACTTGTGGAATTGCGGAGGATCTGCGGAGAGTTTGGAGTTGATTTTGGAAAAGAAAGAAGAAAAGGAAAAAAGAAGTGGGTTTGAGCGGCGAAAGCAGGCGAAAGCGCTGGAAAGCGACCGGAAAGCTGCTGCTGCGGCGCTGCTGCTGCTGCCGCAGCAGCAGCAGCAAAGCCCCGCAGCCTTCCTCCACGCCTTCCACGGAGGATCTCCAGACCCCAACCTTTATTTCTTTCTTTCCAATCGAAAATCCAACTTTTCAAATCTCATTCTCATCGACGTCCCCAGGACGATGCCCGAACTCGCCGCCGTCGACCGCGGCGCCCAGCAGATGCTCTTCAGGATCCTCGTCAGCAAACTTTTCTTGTCATTATTTCTCATCATTTGTCATTATTTCTCATCATTTGTCATTATTTCTCATCATTTGTCATTATTTCTCATCATTTGTCATTATTTCTCATCATTTGTCATTATTTCTCATCATTTGTCATTATTTCTCATCATTTATCCTTATTTGTCATCATTTGTCCTTATCTGTCATCATTTGTCCTTATTTGTTGTTGCTTGTTGTTGTTTATTGCTGTTTACTGTTTTTACTGTTGTTTATTGTTCTTGTTTGCTGTTGCTGCTGTTGTTGTTGTTTGTCGTTTGCGTTTTGTCGTGTGTCTTCGTGCATTTGCAGAAAGTTCAAATTTGTTTGTTTTGTTTGTTTGTTTTATTTGTTTGTTTTGTTTGTTTGTTTTATTTGTTTGTTTTATTTGTTTGCAAGTTCAAATTGTGTTTGTTGAATTGAACTTGAAATAAACTCAAGTGCTTCTTTTCCGGTGTTTCTGCTCGTGAAGTGCCACTTGTTTTGTTTTCAATTTCTTGTTTCACTTTTTTTCGATTTTTGCTTTTTATTTATTTCGGCTTTTGCCTTTCGTCTGCAGAATGCCTTTGCGAACTTGCACGTCGAAGTCGGCTACTGCCAAGGTGAGCAAACATATTTGTTCTTTTGACGAGCTAGCTAGCCATGTGGCTAGCTGGCTAGCTAGCTAGCTAGCTAGC